ACACCGCCTCATATGCATGCCGCCGGTCCTTCTACAGCAGCTCTAGTCGCTGTGACTACTCAGAGGCTCTCTTAAATGCATCGCCCTTCCCGATCCCACGACAGACAGACATCACCGTGCATCACATCCGTGATCGAGACCAGACTGGCTCAAATGACACTTCCCGCTTGGAGGGTCGGTCAAGACAGAGCTCGTGGTCGAGATAATGATGGCGCTCGATTTCATCTTGCTCCACGTACTTGTTGCTTCGACTCTCTAAGTTGTTGCCCCGCCAACCGACCCTTAGGTTTTGGTGTTTGACGCCAAAGGGGGAGAGGGTTCGAGTATGTAGACTCAGGGGGAGCGACTTTTAGGGGGAGCTTGTTACCTAGTATTAGCTTTTTATATACATTTAGAGTTTTATTTGTGTGATACACTATTTCTATTATGCATTCGTGTGTTACTTTCATGCATACTATTATATCTATGTGATAGTGTTATCTACGTGGTTGTGTTATATGACATGTGTGCTCTCTACTTTACATTATTTATATGTCATATCACTTTTGTTATGCTCATTTGCCTTTGCTTCCGTGTTTATGCTCCGATGCAAATGAGTTTTGTTTCTTGTACTCATGCTTAGCTCAGATCCTTTGAGTACATTGAGTTGGCTTGGATCATATAAGCTTGCCTAACACTTTTGTTCTTATCGACAAAACTTATATGAACCAAGCCCGTCAAAAACCTCACTCTTTCACATTCTCGAGGTGGTATTGTCATCAATCACCAAAAAGGGAGAGATTGAAAGCATCTAGGCCCCTAGTTGGGTTTCGGTGATTAATGACAATACAAGATTACTATGACTAACGTGTGTTTTGCAGAGGCAAGTAAGTTAGGTCATGGTAATGGAGATCAATTGGGCAATCAAAGTTGTCATGCCCCTACGATGGAAATCGTTTCGGTTTTCAAAGGATGGACGACAAGGTTAAGGATGACTAGTTCTAAGTGTTGATTGGAGTTGGAGAGACACTTAGAGTAGTTTTGGACTTTGTTTTTCTTTTGGCCGTACTATTAAGGGGGTATGGACGGGTAGCTTGACCTAGTTAAGTCTAGTGAGTTAGGTGTGGTGCACACTTGTTAAAACTAGCTCTAGGAAGCTCCTACGAATGCCTAAGATCCTTTGGAGCAAACTTCATTCACATATGATCGAGAGTTGGAAGTGAATGGAGGGTCAAATGCTGACCGGACGCTGGCCCCGGTGTGACTGGACGCTGGCTGCAGGGTAAGGTCAGTTCATTGGATCTGCTGTCTGCGTTCGGTGTGACCGGACGCTGGAGAGGTCGAGTGACCGGACGCTGAAAGGCAGCGTCCGGTCGACTCCAGTAAGGTTCCAGAGAAGGAAATCTACGACCGGACGCGTCCGGTCAGTTCTGACCGGACCCCGAGGGTTCTGCGTCCGGTCGAGTCCAGTAAGGTTCCAGTAAGGGTTTTATGCGACCGGACGCGTCCGGTCAGTGCTGACCAGACCCTGCCAGCGTCCGGTCAACTCTTTTTCACTGGTTCGCGGGTTGAACTGATCGGAGCGTCCGGTCAGTGCGACCTGAGCGTCCGGTCACCCCACAGAAGCTCATAACGGTTCGTTTTTCAGGCTGCCTTATAAATAGAAGCTCCACTCGTGTGTAGAGTTACTTTTGCTCATTCCAACAGCTGAGAAACACGTTTGTGAGTGCCAAGAAGAGCAAGGTCCTAGTGAGGTGATTGAGATTTTAGAATCCAAGAGAGTAGCCTCATTAGTGAATCAAGAGTAGTCAAGTGTGCATCCATCTTCTCATTAGGCTTCGCGTGGTCAAGTGAGAGTTCGTGCTTGTTACTCTTGGTGATCGCCATCACCTAGACGGTTTGGTGGTGATTGGGAGCTTGGTGATCACCCGGTGGAGACTGTGGGTGACCCGACTCAAGTTGTGAGCGGCTTTGGGTGATTCGCCGCGACGGAGTGTCGAAGAATCAACCCATAGAGAGCACTTGATCCTTGCGCGGATCAAGGGGGAGCTACACCCTTGCGCGGGTGCTCCAACGAGGACTAGTGGGGAGTGGCGACTCTCCGATACCTCGGCAAAACATCGCTGTGTTCCTCTCTCTCTCTCTCTCCATTTACTTTGAGCATTTATTTTGAGTATTTACTTTGAGCAATTCAATACTTGTCTTTACATTCATAGAATTGTCATGCTAGAGCAAATTTGGAACATAGGTTGAAAGTCCGTTGGGCGATTAGTTTGATAGAAACACTTTTCTAGGCACAAGGGGTTAATTGGGCTATCCGTAGGATTTGATTATTGAAAGAAAATTTAGAATTAGCCCAATTCACCCCCCCCCTCTTGGGCATCTTGATCCTTTCAGTCAGTTTGTTGAAGTTGATGATTATGTGGAATCAGTAAATAGACATGGTAATTCATATATGGAATGAGGCAAAACGTAGCAGAATAATTGTTTTGAAGTCAAAATGTTTCTAACCCAGACCCTGATATATGGTAGTACTGTATTTATGTTTGGTAAATGGTGATACGGTTGTTCATTGCTGAATGTAAGATCTATTCAGAATAACTGACCAGACAAACCATGAAGAGTTTGTGAATTGACTCTGACGTGCTATTGTTTGCATATGGATTATACATGGTTGCTATTGTTGCATCGAGCTCACTGTTTCAAGTGGTTACATATATCGATGTTTCCGTTTTGTGTTACCGCTTCCCGATCGTAATCGACATGTTCCCGTTCGAAATATTCCGTTCCCGATATCCCGTAATACCGGATTCGTTTTCCCGTCCGGCCTTTCCGTTCCCGTTCCCGGCCAAAAAATACAGGAGCAGGAATGGTTAAGACATTTTCCCGACCGTTCCCGACCGTTTTCATCCATAGGAATGGGGTTTCCCATTCCCATCCCATTGAACCAAATGAGGATTTATTAATTTTCCACATTTCAATCTCCGTGAGGACTAAATCTTTCTCATCCCTATCCCTTGTAATAGGAAAAATTATTTGTGATGAACCAGTGATCAGGGCCAATTACCATCTCTAGGTGGGTGGGGCGGGTGGTGAGAGAGTGCCACAGGTCTGGACGAGGGAGGCTTGCTGACCAGCAGGGTCAAGGCGGGGGCAACTTGTTCCGACAGGTTAATGGGTAGTAGACCTCTCGGTGTGGAGGGGGGGCTGAAGACAATGTGAGATGAGTGGACCAGGGACGAGTATGTAATGGTTGTTAGTTTGACCTACAGACGAGAGAGCGAGATAGTGAAGAATACAATACAACAACAATTGGCTCCAGATTTAATGGTAAAAATGTTGTTAGCTTGACATATAGAGGAGAGGGTGAGATAGCGAAGATGACAATATGATAGCAATTGGATTGAGATCTAATGGTCAATTTAGGTGTCGCGAGGCAAAATGCCCGTGTGTATGTATGGACACTTTGGAAATTAGCTACGTACTCTTAATATCGCACCCCAATATCAAAAGTGCGAGTGTGACACCCTATGGATACCATTCAATTGATATGTAGAAATAAATTATCTAATGCACAATATCATGTTGTTGTTTCTTGCTTTCCAAAGTTAATTAATTTTTGTGCCCTTTGTGAAAGAATTGTCCACATGCATGCTCCACCCGACTCAAAATAAATCAACCTCTATAATTGTTCTAGTCAAACTATTTTTTAGTTTGACTAAATTTATAGAAAAGTGCACTAATATTTATAATATTAAATTAGTATATCACTAGGTATATCATTGAATAGATTTTTATAATGTATTTATTTAATGTTATAAATGATGTTAGTCTTTTTATATGTTGATCAATGTTAAGACAGTTTGACTCTAGGTGATTTCAGCAATTGATTTATTATATAATGGGGGTATACAACTCAATGCAAGCAAAGGAATTGATTTATTTTGGAACGGGGTATACAACTCAATGCAAACTAAGCAATTTGTTACCGGATATCGAGTCAAAGCTATAAATGTCAATGAAGATACAACATCTAGTATCTTTTTTCTTTTTATATTCAGTCAAAGCTATATCCCCACGAATATAATAGTCTTATATTAGGAGTATTATTATATACATACATAGGTACAAGCTGTAAGCCAGTAACTGTCCTTTGAGACCTAGCTCATGGGCCGAATTGCGGTTGAGCCAGGCTACTGTAGCACTGGAGTTTAGTACCATACAATTCAAGGTCCACCAAATCAACTTAAATAGCCAGACCAAGGACACGTAGTAACCTTCGGTTAACCATTTTGCGCGAAGTGAGGACGAAAGCGTAAGCAGGTTGCTACGTAGGTGGGGCCCACCCCTAGGTAGAGTGGGCCTGGGCCATGTGTCGGGCCTGAGGTGTTACAAATAGTATCAGAACCAACTCTCGCGGTTTCACGCTTCGTATGGTCTGGAAGCTTGGACAGGTTATGCATGGCTCCAGAGATGGCACGAGGGAACTGAAAATACGAATGTGGCCAAGAGAGTCGATCCTGAGCATTTGTCCTATATGGGTAAGCTGGTTGGATAGCTCAACGAGAACGTCGAATCCATTAAGGGTGTGTGGATGTGAGACCCAGCCTATGGACCGAATTGCGGTTGGGCTAGACTACTGTAGCGTTGGAATTTAGTAACATACCGTGAATTCAAGGTCCACCAGACCAGCTTAAATAGCTAGGCTAAGAACGCGTCGTAACATTCGATTAACCGTTTTGCGCGAAACGATGACAAAAGCGCAAGCGAATTGCTACGTAGGTGGGACCCACCCTTCGACAGAGTGGGCCTGGACCGTGTGTCGGACCTGGGGTGTTACAGTGTCCACACGGGAGAAGGAAGACATCCTTATCGGTGCTGGTGTGGCCCTAATAGTCTCCTAAGCGCCGAGCCGCACTCGCGCCTCCTCGATCGATCAGCTCCTCCCGTTGCTTATATATAATCATAGCTTGAGGCACATTTCCTGCGCGGCCGTAGCCACACGCGGTGCGCACTTTGCGATGGGTCTCTCCGGCTCCGGCGTCGCGTTGCTTGTGTTCCTCGGCCTCTGCACCGCCGCCGTGTCGAGCTGGACGACGCCGCCGCCGCCTCCGCCGGAGATGCTGCACGAGAGCTTCGCCGGGAAGTCGGAGTTCAGGACGGTGAACCGGAGGAGGCTGGGCGTGTGCTCCAACCCGAGCCCGTACCTGGCGATAAGCGTGAGCACCGGCGGGGCGCCGCTCCCCGACGAGGCGTTCGTCACGGTGACCGTGGCCGGCGTCCTCAGGCCCGATGCCGATGACTGGGTCGCCATGATCACGCCTTCCAACTACTCCAGGTAAATTTAGAAACAAGTTCGCAATATTTTGACTGACGGCTAGCTGTTTCGATCGTTTATTTATTTTTGATGATAACGGATCGATCGTCGTCGATCTCTCCGTGAATTGGTGCATGCGCAGTGTCGCCGGATGCCATTTGAGTGGTGCTAACTACGTCCAGACCGGCGATCTAGCGCATCTCCCGCTTCTGTGCCACTACCCTGTCAAGGCAAGTTTCACATTGCATATGCACGTACGGCTGTTTGCTTCACCCTTCTGTTTTCGCTGGTCCATATCCTTGCCTACGTACTAAGTGTACTAGTTGCCACGAATTGCTATACAAATTTCTTTCTGCCATGTTCAAGTCGTTGTCGATCTTCATTAAGAGGTTGCTGAGTTTACGAAAAGGAAGCTCTAGGTGGTTAAGTATTTGATCATAGCGACATTTTTCGGTACCCAATGCAACATGTCTCACAAGAATGGGCATCCATGATGAATGAAGCAAACCTAAGCTAGCGTGCAAACATTGGTCATCCGTATGGTATGGTACATTACTACATTGTCATCACATGCATAACGTGCGTTGCATGGTTCAAATGGGCAAGTTGTGTAGTTGGAGCTTAGTAGTAGAATAATCGTCGTTGTCGTGGCAGCGTGTAAAGAGTCTTGCACACCCAAGATCTTCAAGGCCGTCCCAAATAATGGGCCAGGAACACGGCTACACAAAACTTTACTGAGACGGGCAAAAACGTTTAATCAAGCCGGGCAAGCCAACCGCCTCGGCCCAAATGTCACGATTAATCATGGCCTTAACCGAGGCGGTCCAGTTAACGCTATTAACGGAGGCGGTTGAGTTAAGTAGCCTGCCTCGGTTAATAATTTCATGAAATAAAAAAGCCCACCGAGTCCGGTACCACGTGCCGCCGTTGCCCGTGGTAGGATCCGCGCCGCCGCAGCCATCGGTGGCCGAATCCGTTTGGTGGTGGCCGGATCCGCGCCCCCACCGCTGCTGGTGACTTGATCTGCGCCCCTGCCGCCTCCGGTGGTCGGATCCGCCGCCGGTGGACCGTTGGAGTCCGGATCTGGTGGCCGACGCACGGTCCGGATCTGGTGGCCGACGCACGAGGGACAGGGAAGGGGTGCCGTGCTCGGAGGAGAGGGAGGGACCGCCGTGCCATGCTCGGAGGAGAGGGAGGGGCGCCGTCGCCGATGCGGGCCTCCCCGTGCGCCGCTGCTACGTGTGGTGGCCGCTGCCGGAGGGGGCTAGCCCATGCGCCTCCTCCTCCCCACCAGTCGCCTTCGCTGCCTCCACGCCGGAGAGGGAGGCGTGCGTGGAGGGATGGACAGGAGGCAGAGACCGAAGAGAGGGACGGACGAGAGAGAGGGATGGACGAGGAAGAGTTATTTCCGCTCCGCTGCACGCATGGCAAGCCACGAGTGGCCACCAGCCCCGCTTCCGGATCGCTGACGTGGAGCAGCACACGGATCATCCTAGCGCGCAGCACATTTGTGCTTTCTCACTGCGACCGACACGTGGGCCCCACTCCCAGTCCCGTTCCTGTGTGCTCGTGCCTCGAGGTCTAATCGCAGCACTGATTAACCGAGGCGGTTATTTGGAAGCAACCGCCTCCCGCCTCGGTTGCATTATAATGCATGTCTCCGTTAATAGACATTAACCGAGACGGATGTGTTATAATGCCTGCCTAGGTAAATTATTTACCGAGGCGGTTGCGTTATAATGCCCGCCTCGGTTAATAGGCATTAACCGAGGCGATTGTGTTATAATGCCCGCCTCGATTAATAGGCATTAACCGAGGCGGTCATATTACATTGCCCGCCTCGGTTAAGCATTAACCGATGCGGTTGCTGGGCTGGCTGCTCTGAAAACGCCTCGCAAAAGATGTTGTGTAACAGTGAAAACGGGTTTCCAAGATGGCATGTTGAGGTTTTGCACTGGCCTTCCTCATGGGCTGGATGATTTAGAAGGAGCGGAACGAGAGGACTTTTGGTGGGCCATCCAAGCCTCATGCTCAGTTGCTGGTAAAGATTATTGAAGAGGCCAAAGAGTGGTTCAAGGCACGGTACGGTCATATCCGGACACTACTACAGTTGTTGTAATGGGCTGCGCTACGTAGCTAGTCGCTAATAGTTTTGTGTAATATCGCTAATTTGTTGTCAAGCTAGGGTTCGGTTTAGTAATCATGCGATTACTAATATGAACTTATAGTGTATATTGGACCATTTCTGCCTCTTCTTAATAAAATATGTGCCTCGCCACGGTCGGGGAAAAAAATAATGGGCCAAATTATGTATGGACTGCCGACGATACCAAGTTTCGGGCCGAACTGAGCTTGAGCTATTTAACGCGGTCCTCCTACGGGGTGTTGTGCGTGCAGGCCCAGGAGAATTTTTATTTTTTAATTATTTTTAATTTAATATTTTAATAATAACCGTTCTAAATTTTTTTTTACCCCACTTACGTGACCAAACAACATTGTCACGCCAATGCATGTGGCGCGACAACATCTGCCATGTTCGACGGTGTTTTTGATGTGGAAAAACTTGTCGCGCCACTCCCGGTGACGTGACAATATTGTTTTGTCGCGCCACCAGAAGTGGCGTGACAAGACTGAATTTTTGAAAAATCATAACTCTTCAATACGACATTGGATGAAGATGATTTTTATATGAAAATTATAGATCTCGACGAGATCGACAACGTTCTAGTTTTGAGTTTTTCGTTTGAGGACGTTAAGATGCTCAAAAAATAATATAAAATTTTAGCACCATAATAATCTCTACCAGCGCTTGTCGCATTTAAAAAATAATATCTTTTTTGTATGATATCAAATAAAGATACATTTTATATCAAAGTTGTAGTCCTCAGATCTATAAGTTTTGAGTTTTGAGTTTTCATATTTGAGGTCGTTAACATACTCTAATAACTAATATAAAGTTCTAGCAGCATATTAATCATGTATTAAAGTTTATCTTTTAGAAAAATTGTATATTTCTTATTTGATGTTACATAAAAATACTTTTTAAATAAAAGTTGTAGACCTCATTGAAAGCTCCAATTTTGATATAAAATGTACCTTTATTTTGACACGATACAAAAACGATATTATTTTTCTAATGCGACAAGCGTTACTATGCGATTATTATACTACTAAAATTTTATATTATTTTTTTGAGCATCTTAACAAGTCGTAGATCTCATTGAGAGCTTGTAAAAAGTGTCTTCATTTCACAACATAAAAAAAAGATATTATTTTTTAATGCAACAAGTACTAATACGTGGTTATTATGCTCCTAAAATTTTATATTATTTTTTGAGCATCTTAACGACTACAAATGTTAAAACTTAAAACTAAAAAGTTGTAAATCTCATTGAAAGCTACAACTTTCATGTAAAAAGTATCTTCATTTGACAACATACAAAAAAATATATTATTTTTCTAATGCCACAAGTACTAGCACGCGTGGTTATTATACTCCTGAAATTTTATATAATGTTTTGAGCATCTTAACATCCTCAAATGAAAAAACTCAAAACAATAAAGTTGTAAATCTCATTGAGAGCTACAATTTTCATATAAATTTCATTTTCATCCAATGTCGTATCAAAAAGCTATGATTTTTTAAAGGTTTTGTCTTGTCACACCACTCCCAGTGACGTGACAGTACGTCGCGCCAGCGGGAGTGGCATGGCGTGATAGCGTTTCTCACGTCGAAAACGCCGTCTAACGTGGCGGATATTGCCGCGCTATTGCATGTGGCGCGACAATGTTATTTGATGACAAAAATGGTTTAATTCGCAAAAAAAAATAGAGCAATTATTATTAAAATATTAAATAAAAAAGATTAAAAATAAAAAATTCCGCAGGCCCAGTACCTGACGCGCGACCCTGGCTACCTGGGCTGCAAGACCGCGGCATGCCAGAAGCGCGTCGCGTCGGGCGCCTGCAGCGTCCGCACCTGCGCCGCCACCGTCACCTTCCACGTCGTCAACTTCCGCACCGATGTCGAGTTCGTGCTCTTCTCCGGCGGCTTCCGGACGCCGTGCGTCCTCCAACGGTCCGGCGCGCTCCGGTTCGCCAACCCCGCCAGCCCGCTCTACGGCCACCTCTCCAGCACCGACTCCACGGCCACATCGGTGAGCACGAGCAGTCCCACCGTTGTTTCTTCGTTCATTCTACGACGATTTTCTGCAAAAGCAACAGCTTTACGGCAACTGTATCTGAGCGCTGGAAGCATGCATTGGGTGTTGCCAGATGAGGCTTACCTGGGTGAGCGGCGATCGGAGGCCGCAGCAGGTTCAGTACGGAGTAGGAAGTCTGCCACTTCTCAAGTGGCAACGTTCACGCAGAATGATATGTGCAGTAAGTTGTGATCGTCCGTTTATCAGAGAGCAGACGTTACTGAGGGAAATGTGACACTGTTGGATTCTGGAATTGCTTCGGCAAACTTATCTCCGTGCAGGTAGCCCCTTGTTACCAAGCCCTGCCAAGGATTTCGGGTGGCATGACCCTGGCTACATTCACACGGCCGTCATGACCGGGCTCCAGCCTTCTCAGTCCTACACCTACCGTTACGGAAGGTAAAGTCCTCCTGTGACTAAGATCCATCCTTGCAAACAATTGATCAGCAACGCTTCAAAATTAGAAAATGCCATGGATGTTAGTAAGGTTTCTGACTTTAAAATGTCAGCCAGTTCTGCAGTAACATTCTGGCAACCAAAGGAGATGGACGTTTCATGTGTTCACTCAGCTTTTGAGTTTGTGCTTGTGCAGTGATTCTGTAGGTTGGAGTGACACAAACGAATTCAGAATGCCACCAGCTGCAGGCTCAGACGAGACATCATTTGTGATCTATGGCGATATGGGGAAGGCTCCACTGGACCCATCAGTGGAACACTACATTCAGGTAGACCAAAATGTTGCCTCGAGCAACAGAATCGCTTAACTCTGGGTTTTGTATTCAGATTGCAACTTTCCTTCTGAGGTTTCTGATTGCATTAATTCCAAATTACGAATTTATTTAAGTAGTAATTCTCATGGCATGCATTTGCAGACTGGATCGATTTCTCTGGCCAAGGCAGTGGCTAAAGAAATCCAGACAGGAAAGGTCGATTCAGTCTTCCACATAGGAGACATAAGCTATGCTACGGGCTTTCTGGTTGAATGGGACTTCTTCCTAAACCTCATAGCACCAGTCGCTTCTCGAGTTCCCTACATGACCGCTATTGGTAATCACGAAAGGTAACTGCTACTTTTATGTTTGCAGTGTAATCTGAACAGTTGATTTGCGTCGTGAAATGCACCATCGTTGACCATGAACTTGCGTTGTCGTCCTCAGGGATTATGCAGAGTCTGGTTCTATATATGTGACCCCGGATTCAGGTGGCGAATGTGGAGTTGCATATGAGTCATATTTCCACATGCCAGCTGTCAGTAAGGATAAGCCATGGTATTCAATTGAGCAAGGGAGCGTTCACTTCGTCGTGATGTCAACTGAGCATAAGTGGTCAGAGAAGTCGGAGCAGGTATACAATCAATTGGAACTTTTCATGTATTGTTCAGACTTAGAAATGTATGTATTGTCTCTCTGAAAAGTTTATTGTTTGAATAGTACAATTGGATGAATCAAGACTTGTCATCAGTCAATAGATCGAGGACACCATGGGTAATTTTCATTGGGTGAGTACATAAGCATGTTTGTTTTGAAGTAGGTTGGCTATGGACAGATCATGCCGACCCAGTAAAATTACAAACTTAAGTTCTTACGTTTTATACTTTGTTTCTCTTGAATCTGTAATATGTGCTATTCAGATACAAGAAACAGAATCACCATCCTTCAATGAAAATTGCAGGCATAGACCGATGTATTCATCCCATGTCGGAATACCAGTTAATGTAGATCCAATTTTTGTGGCCTCCGTTGAGCCACTCTTGCTCAAGTACCAGGTAAGAAATCACACTTGAAAACTGAAACTTAACTACGTCAGGCTGGTATGAAAAGAAATGACCAGCTGATCTGAATATGCTAACCATAGTAGCATGTTTTGGTTTTTGGGTGAGTAGGTGGATTTGGTTTTCTTTGGCCATGTACACAACTATGAGAGGACTTGTGCAGTATACCGGAGCATATGCAAAGGCGAGCCAAAGAAGGATGCAAGTGGAATTGATACTTATGACAACAGCAAATATACCGCGCCTGTTCATGCCATTGTTGGAGCTGGAGGGTTTAGCTTGGACAAGTTCCCTAAGATTGTGGTAAGTTATAGTAACAAGTCTTTTGTAGTGCATGATCTTGAAGAAGTATGATATACATGAGATTTCTTGTCATAATTATTCAGTGAACATTAAGATTTGTGAGATAGTTTTAAGTTTATAACGATAAATTGATATCCAATACTATACATGTTTGTTAATAATCTTGCCTTGATTTCCAAATAATCAGTTGAACAAGTGGAGCTTATCAAGAGTTTCAGAGTTCGGGTATGCCAGGGTGCATGCCACAAGAGGTGATATGCTGGTTGAGGTCAGTTTTTGTATTTCCTTTCCTTTTCTCAATGTTTTCTATCTTCTCACATGTTTGATTGAAATAGTACTTCGGAGATTAAAGTGGCATTGAATAACAAAAACTCCAGAAATTTCCGAAAGAGCGCCATTTTGGCATTTCTCTCTGAACAATTGTTACTCTGTTTTTCTTCAGTTTGTAAGCTCAAGTACGATGGAGGTTCGGGACCAATTTAGAATTGTGAAGCCAGATCCGGCAAGGAGGCTACGGAACCAGCCAGTTCAACCGTAGCTGCAGTTTATGGAAAAGAAGATGGAACTGGAGCTACTTATATTTTTGTTATGCTATAAAAAAATGGCGCTGAATTACACATAAGCGCATTGTCTAATTAAGTTCTACAGTTATCTGTGTAGTGTATGGTTTTTTATGACATCGCTACATCGATATAGTTCCATCTCCCTCTGTCGAGTATATTGATCCACAAGTGCCATTTTGTAGTTGTAGCTAACAGCGTAACACGGGCTCCTGAACTTTTAAGTTTTAATTTACGGTTTTGTTACTTCTGAATTTCTGAAACTTCAGGAATTAAAACCAACGTTCCAAACTAGTCCTAAACAAAACTTTGAAGGTTAGCCGTTGTGTATTGGCATTGTATACACAATTGAAGGGAACACACGGGAAAAGAAACCGACATCTTGGTACATCGTAAACCTGCACCGCGTCATACTGCCATCCTGCGACTAACACCGCTCGGCGCTCGGCGCCATTCTCCCTCTAAACCCAACTGTTACTAGCAAAGTTCTTATAGAAGTCCCTTTGATTTTTTTCGTTACTGCATTTTATTCTCGACGTGCCTTTGATTTACAAATATTTCATTTGACATAAGAGTAGTGACGAAGCTAGAGCAAATGGGTGAGGGGTGCACAACTTCATCACGAATATTGTGACCCATATGATGTTCAAACAAATAGCATAACTAATTCGTAATTTTTAACAACAAAGTTCAACTTTCAGTGATGGCAATGTGATTTTTGTCAAAACAATTGAAAACTGGTAGGGGCAAAGATAATAACACTCACCATTTATAACAAAATAAAGATGGCATTCATTGATGTAGTGTAGTGATTGAAAGAATGCCAAAACGATGAACAAAAGATATGCCATATAGCAAAATATGTGATCCAGCCTAACGAAAAGAGAACAAATAGGTCAATAATTTAGCAGAACAAATAGGTCAATAATTATCCATTGAAAATAGATGCATTGCATTTTGCATTACCTGTTAGATATTATATTGTGCCATTTTCCTTCCACGGTCATGAAACGACGAACCACAGCCTCAACGCTAACTTTCTTCATTCCTCTAAATAAGAAACAATGAAAGCAATATGCTCTATCCATGATTATCTATAATTCATTCATTTGCATAATCAAATTGTAGTTCACAAATTCACATATAAATAATTTGATTGAGGATGAACTTGAGGATAAACAAAAACACTCTCTAGCAGCAGCAGGGGGCTGCAAATTACAAATATATGTGACCCCAGATTCAGGTGGCGAATGTTCCATTGTAAGGAACTGAACCAGCTGACCTTGGCTCAGTTTGGAATCATTGAAAGTAGGGAACCAAAATTTGTTTCGACATCAAGTATGCTAAACCATTACGGCAACATCTAAGCTCTGCCTAATATACGCCAACACAGTTCGACTGTCGTCCAGCTGCGCTGACAAAGAAAATGAAGCGAAAGCTACATCATGTCTCCTGGTCCCTGGAGTGAACTGAATTCAGTGAAGGAATCGACATACGCCTCGTAAATATAGCAGATCTTCCATCATCTGGTCACCAATTAGTTTTTTTTCCTGTTCGGAGTTGCAACGACATGTTAGTGTCAATTTCTGGAATTTAATTTGGACAGATGACGTATTAATTAGTTTTCTGTGAAATGGTGGATAATTCAATACCCTTCACTTTCTGAGAGAACGGAACACTATATTTCAGAATATCATATAGCTGGACTGCTGGAGCCATGGAATTAGTTTAGTCACATGCCTCAATGGCATTACCGTACGAGCCTGCATGATGGGGATATACCAAGGTAGTATAGCTAGCGTCCAGACTCGAGTCAAGCGTGATCATCGGCTCTGACGATTTTTCTATATACCTCCGGCTCCAATCTGTGCTTTGCCGTGGCAGCTGGACGGCTGAACTTGCGGTAAACCAAAGGCATATGCGACGCAAACACCATTGTACTTTGTCTCTTGTTATACGGGCCATGATGCCTATATAAGCCCAGTCACTCATTCGGCAAAACCACACACCAAGCTAGTGCAGGCTAATAGTTACAAACTGACACTAGCGGCGGTAGCAGCGGCAGTGCCCGTAGCAACCATCAGAAGCATGGCAAGGCTGTTCCTGGCGTGCATGGTTCTGCTTGGCCTTGCAATGGCCGCAGCGGCGGCGAGGCCGGCGACGACGACGACGGCCGGCGACCCGCCGACGGGCAGCTGCGACCAGGACCTGCAGGACCTGATAACCAACTGCCAGGACTACGTCCGCTTCCCGGCTGATCCCAAGATCCCGCCGTCGGCGGCCTGCTGCGGCGTGGTCCAGAGGGTGAACATGCCGTGCCTCTGCTCCAAGGTCACCCCGACGGTGGAGACGCTCATCTGCATGGACAAGGTCGTCTACGTCGCCAGCTACTGCAAGAGGCCCCTCAAGCCTGGCTCCCAGTGCGGAAGTAAGTAGCCTACCGTGTGTATAGCAGTAAAAAGCTTATATACCACATCGATCTGACTTGAGATTATTGTGCTTGTTTTTTTGAAGGCTATCACGTTCCTGGTGTGCTTGCTTAATATGCTCGTGTATTGGTCCACTATGACGAACATCGGTGCTATTTCTCCATACCTGAACAAGTGCTGTGTACATCCTCTGTACCTTCGGCGAAGAGACTTGGTCTGTTTGTCATACTCTCCTGAATAAGTTTGTATGTGTTGCATTTACACTTGTATTGTATTATATAATGTAATATAATTTATATTTATATTATGATATAATATGTATGAAGTGATCCTGGCCCTCTATTTCCCTACTCTGCTTCTCTTCTCTACTCAAATTCTAATGATAGAGGGAGGAAGGTTTCAGAACCACCCGATGAGGATCTGACAGATCCAATCTCTCTCGATCCCTACGAGTTAGAGTAGCGTATCCAAAAACGGTGCAATGTTCGATTCTAAAATAAATTAGAATACAAAGAGTGTCCATGGTCCGAAACTTCTTTCCCGTACACATATGAGTCAGCGCAGAGTGTAAAGCAATGTTACAAAATCCTATCCCAAAATAATTGAAGTACGTGACGCAATCATTGATAAATCTCTAAGGGCAGTCCCAATGGTACATTGATGATGGTTTTTATCCTCATTAAATGACTTGCCACGTAGATAAAATGCTGACATGACAACGTAGTTAATGAAGAAAGAGAGCAAAAATCATATAAATGGTTTCCTCATGAAGAAACCAGGTCTTCTCTTGACCCAATGCACCAAGAAACCATGAAATCGTCATTGGGGAGAAACCACCAATTTCTAGGGAGCTCGTGCCGCACTCCCATTGGAGGAAGAAGATAGAGTTGGGAGAGAGAAAGAGAAAATAATTATTACTCATAGAAATCATGGGTTAGAAAGCAGTACTTTTTTGGTGTGGTATCCTATGTTATAGAAACTACTAGTTTCTTTCATTGGGACTGCCCTAAGCCTCTTGTAACCATATGAGTTAAAGCAACACACTTTTAGGTACAAAACACGGACAATTTTGAGATGAATTGAAACACATGACGTGATTGTTGAATAAATCTCCAAGCCACATGTTGTACAAGTGATCACGCAACAAGTTGTGTGTCCCGTTGGAATGCATGTGAATGTTTGTGAGCTATTGCGTATATGTGAAGGAGTGCTTTGGCAAAGCTCCCAGAGTAGCTTCTAAGGCCTGTTTGATAGAGCTCAATTCTCTCAATTCTGTGATTCTCTGATGGAGTGATTTTGGTATAGGAGCGGGGTGGAGAGCAGATTTGAATTGATCTAGCTAGAGTGATTCTGGTGAGGATTAAACAGAGAACACAGTGGGGAGCGGTTTCTTAGCTCCCAGCTCCTAATATAAATGGAGAAGTGATTCTTGTCTAATCCCTACCAGAATATTATACTATTTAGTAAAGCAAGAGTGATTCTTATAGAGAATCTGCTCCATGGAGCGCTGCCAAATAGAGCTAAAAAGAGACTTTTGATAGGCGGGTAACTGAAAGAAAAAAATAAAAAGCTGACAGAGAAAATAGATATTTCCCTTTGCATGGAACTTACCAATATGGCTGCATCTACCACCGCTGCTAGCCAGTACGATGACCACCATGTTGTTATTCAGTGATCAGTGATTTATTCAGTTTTGAATTGATTTAGTCGAAAAAGTCATTGAACCAAAATTGTGGTGGTCTGTTCTGTGAAGACTTTGGTGTTGTTCAGTGATCGGTGATTTATTCAGTTTTGAAGTGTTGTAAACCAAATTAACTAATTTAACCAAATTTCTTTATGCTTATTACATCAAACAGTAAAATTATGCTCATTTGTATATTTAAATATATGTCCAAGTGACTTTATTTGTTAGAAGCATTTTTTGTTGCTTTTTCTTTTGTTTTATTCCAATGCATTGATGTTGTTTGTATTATCTCCTGTAGAGGTATATAATATATATTACAGTAACAGTAACCGATTAACCAAAGCCAAATTTGCTTAGTTTTTTAGTGTTTTGGCAACAAATTTGATTAACATTTAGCAAAGACCCCCCAAAATCTTTATAACCTTTGATGAAAGAAGATCTTCACCTATGGTCGTATCTCTAGTTTGAAGTATACCTTTTGTTTTCCAAAAGATATTATGCGCCGCACTCAAAACAGATGTATGCAAATAAACACTTGGAGTCCAAAATATAGGTGAAGTGCCATTGTCTCCATTTTTATATCATCATTTCTTATATTGGGGTTCACATTCCGCACTCAAAACAAATTAATGAAATATGTGATTCTTGAATGTACACATGTCTCCCTTGCGTTACATTTATTTTTCATTTATGTCTTACTTCTGTTTTCACCCGAACAACTTTTCTACATGTCATCATTGACCTTTAACACTTGTGAATATAGAAGCCCTAGTTGTTTACACTTGTCTATACAGTAGCAGTAGTTTTGACACTTGTCTGACATGCAGCTCTAGATTGACACATGTATTATATAGCATATAATGTCAAAAATGACACCTGCCTCACATGCAACACTAATTTTGACACTTGTATAACATGCAACATAAATATTAACATTTGTCCATATAGCTCGACTCCATGCCATATCAATATATCGAGCGTGCAGCATAAAGTTGACACAAAGTTGGGTGACCCTCCCTGACCACATCTATAAAATCACAGGTGCTCTAAAATCATTCACATCACAACACAGTTCTTTTAGTAACCTTCAACAGGCACCCCCAAGAACTAGTAAACATGGCAAAACTTCCAAGCTTGTTCTTAGTCCTCTCTTTTGTAGTAGCCATGTCCGTCGTAGGCTCCCAGGCTGATGGAGGCTGTGATAAAGACCTCCAAAGCCTGATAAGTGAATGCAATCAGTACGTGATGTTTCCAGCGAATCCAAAGATCCCTCCTTCAGATGTCTGTTGTGGTGTCATCAAGAAGGCAAATGTTCCTTGCTTGTGCACCAAGGTCACCAAGGAGATTGAGAAGGTCGTGTGCATGGAGAAGGTTGTGTATGTTGCTGAGCAATGTAAGAGGCCATTTGAGCATGGCGTCCAGTGCGGAAGTAAGTGTTTTATGTGTTTATTTATATGATGAGTATAGTGTAAATTGTGAACTTTAAATGTGACTATCCATGGTATTTCTTTTAATTTGAATTATTTTGCAGGCTACACGGTTCCTAGAAAATGAACAGATCACAAGAGGGAAGTGCTGGACGTAGTCCTTAGATCTCAACAGCCATAGCTGATCTACCTTCCGATGGTTGTACAATATGCGGTCATGTTGAGACTAATGTAAGGTGTAAGAGCTCCATTGATGTATCGAAAATATTCTGAGCTAATAATAAAGCCTTCTCCACAAATTTCGTGATTCCTCGGGAACTGATTTGTGACCCATATTTTTCACGAATAGGAACAGAAAGATAAATTAGGAGGCATAAGTGGTACGCTGACATGCTGTGCATGATCACTCGGCTGTCGGCTGCAAAACAGCGTGGAGTACTTGTCACGTCGTCAGCGTACACCGCTCTCTCGGCGCGCTCCGTTCGAAGGCATCTCCTCGCACGCCACGCGCCTAGCGCACGCCGCGCCACCGTGATCCTGCCCGACCACGTGTGCTCCACCCGCGCGCGCACACCGCCCCGCGCCCCGCACACCCTTCTCCCGTTGCAACCCGTTCCTTCCCCGCATGGCCGCATCCCTTGCCGTACTCCGGCGTCCGTACGCTCTCGGCCTCACGCTGAACGCTGATATAATAAACGCAGTGACCGCGAGAACACCGAGCTACTTACGAATACGAGCTCAGCCAGCCACCCAATCTGGGATGCACGACGAGGGCGAGGCGAGAGCAATGCCGGCGCGGCCCGCGCCGCCGTCGCCACCCCCGTGGGAGGCGCTCCCCCTCGTCGCGCCCTTCCTCGACGCGGCGTCCCTCGCGGCGGCCTCCTGCGTGTCCACCTCGTGGCACGCCGCCTTCGCCGCGGACTACCTCTGGGCGCGGCTGTGCGTGCAGCACTTCCCCTCCGCGCTGAGCCTCCTCCCCGACACCGACAGCAGCGCCGCCGGCAGCGACGACGACCGGCGGTGCTCGTCCTCTCCGCACCGGCGCCTGTTCAAGCTGTTCCGCTCCGCGTCCGTCCGCTGCCGCGCGCTCCCGGCCCCGCCCCTCGCCCTCGCGGACGTCTCCTTCGCCGTCGACATCGTCACGGCCGGCGGCGACAGCACGCTGTCGTTCCTGGTCGCCGCGGACAGGGCCGCCCCCGCCCATGTCAAGAACTCCGCGGGGCTGTTCCTGTTCGGGGTCGACCTGAGCGACCGGAACGCGGCGATCGGGCCGGGGGAGTGGCGCGTCAGGTGGACGGCGGTGCGGACGACGGCGCGCCGCGGGGAGGAAGAGGAACCCGCGGCGGCGGTCCTGATGATGGACGCCAAGGTGCCGGCTGCAAGGGCGGCGGGCGCCGTCGCCTTCGGCGGCAGAGGCGAGGCGGGGGTCGCCGCGAGGCTGCCCGCGCCTGGCTGCGGCGGCGCGAAGCTGGACGCGGAGGTGGTCGTGGAGCTGGCTGGGGAGGAGATGGTGGTGGAGAAGGTGAGGCTCGGAGTGATGCGCGAGTGTCGGTACGTGTGCGCCGACGAGGGGCTCCGATATCTGCAGCATTTCCTCCTGTAAAATGCACGTGCTTCTCCATGATCTCGTGCACGGTCGAATGGGAATTCCGGTTCAGAGAAGCAGAGTATAGAGTAGAGTGTTTTTTTTTCGACATTAGAGTAGAGTAGGCAGTGCAATGAACTGAACCGAACTCTCATTTGTTGTTTCCCGTTTAATAATGGTTTCGTCTTGTGTTTATTAGTGTGGTGATTGTCGAATTAGGCTGGCCTTTGCACCATCTTACCCTTTCCGCTTTGTTCGTCGGCTCCGTTTTGTTCGTCGGGCACTCGGGCTTAGTGGCGTCGGGAAAAAAAAAGCCACGGAGGCCGTGAGACCTATCGCAGATTCACGTGTTCCATACACATCGACTCCACTGTCTGTTTGTGCCTCTACTTTGCCTATGACATTTTCTCCCTTTATAGAAGGAAATCAAGAAAAAGGAGTTGGCAGATGGCTCATGGTTGAGCTTATCGGCGGCGTATTCCATATTGACGTGAAGTTGTGAACGGATCGACTGAAACAGAGTTTCATGCAAAGTTTTAAAGGCCTCATTCGGCTGGCTGAAACTTGGCTAAAATTGACGTGAAGTCGTGAACGGATCGACTGAAACAGAGTTTCAGACAAAGTTTTAAAGAGGGAAGTATTTTGAGTTCTTGATGAATGTCGGGAGGGAAGATAGACTTGTTTGGTTCTGAACCAAGCTGTTTGGATTAGATCATGAGAAAACTGTCTGGCCCACGCATGGTCCAGTCAACAATCTCATGCGTCTAATTTTTAGTGATCTAGAGTTGAATAATGTTGCACAGCTTAGGTAAGTTTTTATTTAGGGGAACAGCTTAGGTGGTAAGGCTACCAACCAAACAGGCCTACAGTGCTGGGCTTGCCAGGCCGGCCGGGATAGGAGTGCAGCCCATCACCATCAGAGCGGTACTACCACGCCAAAACGCGCCGCAGAGTCGCCCTCGCCGGCTCTCGCCCGCACGGCCACCGGGTGCCCACAGGCCACAGCCCACTTCGGACTTCCTCACGCCGAGCCGAGCGCAGCGCACTCCTTTTAGCGCTCCACGTCCCGGCGTCTTCGCGCACTCGCTCGCCGACCGATGCCGCTGCTGCTGCGCGGCGCCTCCCTCCTCCGCCTCTGCCAGTACGGTACTCATCTTCCCCCCACCCTCTCTTGCTCTCTTCTCTCCTATGGCGCATTTTCTGCCTTCTAGTCGGTTCATCCCATCTGGTCTGCGTTACTGCGTCGATTCGGTTCTTCGCCATCCAAGGGGCACCCTCAATAGGGGGACGAGCCCATCGAGGGTTTGGCCACGAATGGAAATACCCGTTTCTTTTATTGTGCGCTTTCAATTGTCAAGTGTCAACAGCGTCATTGATGTGGATTATGTAATTTAGTCAAAGAAAATATGGTCAGGGTCTCAGGGAACATATGTCACAAGCGCGGGTGCGCTTAAGGCTTTTTCTTTAATAATGAAGAACTTATTACTTCAGCTCAAACTCATTTGCACATAATGTGAAACCCAAACCCTATGTCAACCTTGAAGTATCCATCAGTGCAAGAGGATGTTTGTCCACAGTTATCTCATACCTGGATTCATTGTCACAAGAATCGTTTAGCTTGGAATGGCGCAATTCTACATCAGTAGATGTTAAACATTGGCTTTTCTTCTCTAATAGGTGTACCTGTGGGCTCCGAAGTGCGAATTTCAGTTCAAGAGTACCTGCACTAGTGAATCTCATCACCACGAGGGACAGAATGAGGGCTACATATTCGCGTAGAGCTGCCTCTAAGAACAGTGAGGTCAAGAAAGATGAGCAGACAGTCATAGAGAAGGTTGGTCTGTTTCCCTTGTGCTCATACTCTCTGACCATTGTATTGTAGTTTTGTTTCATACCTTTCTGTTTGGATCCTAGGAAGATGCTGCTGAAAGTGACTTGGAGATAGAGCGAGTGAGGAGCAACCCTAGCCAGCTCCAATCAATGACTGTCAAGGAGCTTAGGGAGCTCACGAGGTTTAAACTTTGTCACTCTTCCCTTCTTGTCCATTGGTGATAATTGATGTGTTCTTTTAACTCTTTGTGCACTAAAATCTTGAAGGAGGATGGGTGTTTCTGTGAAAGGTACCAAGAAAGATTTAGTATCAGCCCTGATGGATTCTCTGGGCGTGGAAGCAAATGGTATGTGTTAGTTCAGACTTGTAGTAGTAGCTTTGAACTAAATCCTTGTTTTTTGTGTTAGAACTCTTTAGTTTCATTCATTATGCCCTTTGCAGCAGTAAGATAAGACTTTGGTCAGATTTGCCCCAAACTTACAATGTCGTTAGCTAGTGAAATAGTGAACCAAATATGTCAATTCTGAAAATTTTGCTTGCATGAGATCTTCAAGCTCTTATGGCTTCTCTATCGACGTAGCAAGGTTTTATGGTGCAGGAACAGGAAATACAGGGGCATGGATGGATCCTTTATAGACCATAGTCACGCATATATGTCCTTGTTTAAATAGTGTTTGAATGAAGCTTATTAATAGCCAGAAACTTGTTTTCTTTCCACAGGTGAAGAGGGAAAGTCATCCATTGAGCTGGTTAGCCCCTCGGAGGTACCTTTAAAAAGAAAAGGTGGTGCTTCTGTTGTGATGGAACAAAAACTAGAAAGTTCTGAAATTATTTCTGAAACACCTAGCAAGAAAAGAAGTAGAACAAAACAAAAGTCAAGCAAGTGCACCACTTTTGAGGAGAATTCTGTGACTAATGTCAAGCTAAGTAAGACTATTGTCCAGAAGGAAACATTTGTCGGTATGCACATTTGTTGACTTATCTTTACTCCTGTTGAAAGATCACTTTCCCCTTGGCTAACTGTTTGTTACTCTACCACACAGTCCAAGGTGCTGTTCCTAATGATGATTCAGAGCCTTGGACTGTACTCGTGCATAAGAAACCACAAGCCGGCTGGATTCCATACAACCCTAAGACTATGAGGCCTCCACCTCTTAGCAAGGATACACGGGCTCTGAAGATTATGTCATGGAATGTCAATGGATTGAAAGCATTGCTCAAATCAAGAGGCTTCTCTGTGCAGCAGTTAGCACAGAGGGAGGACTTTGATGTGCTATGCTTACAAGAGACAAAAATGCAGGCAAAATCTTAGTTATTTTTGCTAAGTTCATTTGGAGTTATCCTAAAAAATGTTAATGACAATATAATTTTTCTAACATTGCACATTCTATCCTTTCTAAATTATTTGCTGACAGTAAATTCACTATATTTGCTTTGTTCTGGGCAGGAGAAGGATGTTGAAGTTATTAAGGACACTTTGCTTGATGGCTACACAAATAGTTTCTTTACTTGCAGTGTGTCAAAGCTTGGATATTCTGGCACTGCAATAATTTCAAGAGTACGCATCACCTACCCAATGCTTCATACATGTAACTAGTAGAAACAGAACATCTATGAACACCTATTGGTTTGTTCTGTTTTAGTTCTTTAGAAGCAACTGCACAGAAACCTGAAAGAAATGGAAAGAAGGAGCAAAGTGCCATGATGCGCTCCCTCACCTAGGAACCATCACACCTATGTCTCTTCAATTTTGAGATTTCAGGGTTTTCCATGAAACCATCTATGAAACCATGATGCGCTCCCTCACCTAGGAACCATCACACCTATGTCTCTTCAATTTTGAGATTTCAGGGTTTTCCATTTCTGAAATCTAAAGCAAGCTTCACTGTTTTTTTTTCTCGAACAATGCAGGAGAGCTGCGTGTCATTTTATTAAGAAAAAGGAGTCGCACAACCGGGAGTGCCCAGAATAAACCTTCCCAACACACCCCACTCACTAAGCCATGGCTAGAAAGAAATTTGTGCCACTCACACTAAAGCAAGCTTCACTGAGATATACTTTAATAAAAAAGGAAAGAATCATTTAAAATATATGATTAATCACTATTACTTTCCTCTTCCCTTGGGCTATATTGCAACCTGGTTAACCACTGTTCGATTTCTTCTGATATTTAGTCCAATACTACACAAATATATTTATTGTATTGTGATCCTGGGTCCTGGGCTCCTGGCTTGATCATTGTTAACCTTTCTTCTGCTCCAATTTGTTAAATGGTAGCCTTAAGCATAAACTTCTTGATCAACAGGATATGCTAGCATCCTGCAAGATTTTTGTGAACATTTTTGTGTTTTATATTTTCTTTCTATTCATCATGTGTCATGCGTTGCCTGTAGGTCAAACCACTCTCGATCAAGTATGGGCTTGGTATACCAGACCATGATACAGAAGGGAGGGTTGTGACTGTAGAGTTTGATGACTTCTACCTGTTAACTGCTTATGTACCAAACTCTGGTGATGGTCTAAAAAGATTGGTAAACAATTAGTATTTTTCTTTCTAGTATAAATCATCTGAGGTTACAATCTGAAGTCCATGAGCATGTATTTCTGTGCAGACATACAGGGTCACGGAGTGGGATCCATCCCTTGGTAACTACATGAAAGTATGTCTCTTATTTTACTCCTATTATTATTTTGAAGTAGCTTGCTCATGCTACTTATCGTCTATTCCTCTTCTTCTGTCAAAGCGTTAAGTATGTTTTTACTGAAACAGAAGTACAGAACTAATTTTGCGTGCATTTTGTTCATGTCATTTTTTCGTTGCATTGATTCTATTTGATATGGGGATTTGGATCCAAAATTTCAAATACATAGGATTTAGCACCGGTTGGACAATTTCTAGAGCAATCACTTCATCCAAACACTCTTTTGAATGATGGGTCTCCCTTGTATAAATTTGCACATAACAAAGCCTTAGTAAGAACTAAGATTGAAAGAAATATTCTAATTAGGGGCAGACCCATAAAATATGTATCAAGATGTCCAAATTTAGTTAGAGTGGCAGTTTTAAATATTTTAATACATTAAGCTCTCTGCACTGGGTACACCCTTTAATTTTGGGTCTATTTTAGGGCACATCCTATTTTCTTTATTGTCTATCATCAATATCCTTTTATTTTTCTTTGCCCTTTACCAATCAAGCTAGCATATTGAAAGATTCCCTTTCAAATCAAGGGGATTTTCGAAAACCCCTAGTGTACTTTTTCATAGTAATGGCCATCTAATTCTTGTGTTTTCCTAGTTACCAAAGTAATGACCATCTAAAGTTCTAAACCCTAGTATTCTTCACGGCTGTTGTCCTGTGCAAAAAGACACAACATGCTACTCAGATATGCATGATTTTTCAGACACAATCACCTCCTTCATTTACAGGCTTCAGTAGTGATCGTTGCACCGCTAACAACAAATTATTTTTTAGATCTCGTGCTGCTAAGTTCTGGTATGACCATACACATCTCTTATGATTGTGCAGGAATTAGAGAAATCGAAGCCTGTCATACTAACCGGTGACCTTAATTGTGCGCACCAGGAGATTGATATACATGACCCTGCTGTGAGTAACCATTTGTTTGAATTCTTTTATGCTGAATGTATTGTAAATTTGTAGTCTTACACTTAATCTTCTCTAATACGATTTACGCACCAAAAGCGAGCCAGTGAGTGTGGCCACATCGATCGCCGTTCCCGACCGTCGGATCGGGCACGTGGACGGCCCAGATCGAGCCCCGATAACGCGGGCGGGTGGCCAGCGGCCCCAGCGTGAGCGGGGTGCGGGCGCCGCCTGTGCCGTTGCTGTGGCATTCCCGGCCATCCCTGGCGGCCGTGCCATGGTCGCAACCGAGCTGCGCCGCTGCAAACACGCCTGTGCACGTGGCCAGCGGGCCACGGCCCCGCCCGGCATCCGCACCCTGTGTGCGTGCTGTGCTCTGCTGAGCGCTCGTGGATGAGGAAAGGAGAATAGAAGCTTTTTCAGGGTTCCCAATGCTAAACTCCTGACTCATTAAAACAATTATTGACACATCAGAGCATGTTGAGAATAAGGAAAAGTACAGGGGCCTAGGTGCAAAACGTTTGTCCTATTAGGTTTTCCTTTTTCTTTCAGGTTTTAATCAGCTAAAAGTAAAAAAAACTATATAAAATCAAACAAAATTCATAAAATAAAATAAAAACAAGTTCTATTTTGTTTCTCATAAATAGAACTATGCAATAGATATATACGTAGTAATATCGTACACATTAGTGCAGCTTCAAATATTCAACACTAACAATTCAGTTTCTCCATCTATATCCATTTCACATATTGAAGTATTTTTATCATTTACCTTCAGATACTCATGCTCCAAATTTCAATTGGCATCTGTATAATAATATTTGAGAAACCAAATCAACCAAAGGTTTATTACCACCGGTTAAAATCCATGCATGTGTTCGTACACTTAAATAACCACGTCTATGAACGTTGTTGAGCATTTACAAAATTCGGAAAAAAAACTGCAAATTCTATACTTCATATAAAAATTGCTTATATGACTAACACAATATATATCAATAACATCCATTGTTGTAGGGCTACACAGGTAATTTAAATACATACAATAACATTTGTATATATTCACGTGTACACATAATTTCCACCGATAATCTTTTCACGTACGTTTTGTTGCAAACCATGACACCTAAGCGAAAATAACGAAGCCAAGTAGCTTAAAAAAAGCGTACTTCTACCTGCATACAATTATTATTACTCCGTACATGAAATAAATTCTGTATCAGCTATAATACTTCGACATAATACAGGCACTGCGCGGCAAGGCTGCGCGCCTTTCTAGTTGTGTCCTAGATTTGGCTATTTGTTTTATGCTACAAACATCATGATCCTTGTAATAAAGTAGAATTACAGAGAAATTTAGCCTTGGTTTTAGACCCTTGTTGTTAGATCTGAGAGTTCTTATCCGGTTTAATTAGAAAGCTTGAAGAGTAAAGCAAATTATTGCCCAAGTTGTGAGAAACAGATACCTTAAATTGCATTGCCATGGTGCTGTTTTTTGAGCAACCTGTACTCCCTGTTGCTCATATATATATTTATGTATATGCTTGGTGCCCTCTATCGGATTGGAATATGTGACAAATGTTACCACTTACCAGTTTTGCTTTTGCTGCTTCACCTATCTTTTCTACATGGTCTTAACCCATTTTTAATACCTTTTTCCAGGGAAATCGTAAAAGTGCAGGCTTCACAAACGAGGAAAGAGAATCATTTGAGACCAATTTTTTGTCCAAAGGGTTTGTTGATACGTTTCGGAAACAGCATCCTAGTGTTGTTGCCTATAGTTACTGGGGGTACAGGCATAATGCGCGGAAGACAAACAAAGGTATGTACTATGACTGGTGATATGGGTTTTGCCACCTGTTATTGTGTGTTTATGACTTTATGTGCTGTTTCAGACACATCCTTGAGATTATGTGCCACTTACAAACATACCTATGATTTTAGCAATTTGTGCCACAATACATGGAAGCTTCTGTAATTTAGCATGGTTTCTGAGCAATCTTACATCCATCATGCACAAGCACTATGTCAAAATTGGTATATTCATTTGTTGTTCCAACATAACTGACGATCATGCTCATCATTTCACCTCTGTTTTGATTTGTGCATTGGATCCAAGGTTGGCGCCTGGATTACTTTCTTGTGTCGGAGTCAATCGCTGAAAAAGTCCACGATTCATATATTCTTCCGGACATCTCTGCCAGTGATCACAGTCCCCTTGGCCTCGTACTGAAGCTGTAGGCTGTATCACATCACTGGCTATGCCAAACATTCAATCTGAAGCCTGTGCCCTAATTCTCAGACAGCGATGCTTATTCCAGAGGTTTTTTTTTTTGGTTCGTGCAGATCCATGGCAGGATCAGCGATTTTTGTATCAGACTATTAGTGAAACAATGAGGCTTTGTAATGCACTGAGCAGATTTGAATATCCATCAAAATGACTAGTGGACGACTACTGTTAGTGATGCTGCACCTTTGTAGTGTAGATATGCGGCCCGATCAATGGATCATATCTTGTGCTGCAGTTGTGCAGCTTAGCATGAGCAGCAGGGAAAGCTCGTTATCTGGTTATGAAATTATGATACTGACCTTAACCTGTTGAGCTCATTAAGCTATCCTGTCATGTGTTGTGCCGCTGATGGCGTCAGAAAAACTGTGCCATGCAGTTTCACGCATAGCCGAAACTGTTCTTCGACGTAACCTAGGACTTGAATGAAGTGTTACTATGTGCTTGGTAAAACTAGCTCAGCGTCACAATTAATCAATTTTTTTAGTGGAACACAATTAATCAATTATGTTGTGTATATGAGCTCACGGACACTGCAAAATGGTGAACGTTTATCTGAACATCAAAATGCAGGTCTTTTTTTTTTTTTGGTTATACAAGAATTATTAAGCAGCACTTTTTTTTAACACGGGTCCAAACAGAGACAAATCAGAGGATGCCGCTAACCGACATGGCATTGAGGCGTACTCTTGTTGAACAGATCTCAAAGAGTAAGCAGCAAGGCAGGGCCGCAGGGGCCCCTCTCGGCTCTTAACAGATTTTCTGGGAAAAAACAAACAAACTTGAGTCGGTTCCGGGCCTCCGGCGAAAGAGACGCGCCGAGACCGAGAGCCTACAAATATCCGCGAGCCACTTTCGCCAAGATCCCCCATAGGTTAAGAAGGCGTTAAGCACTGCGGGTTTTACAAAACCAGAAAGAAATCACCTGCTCGACGGCATCATCGGCAAGACGGGTACCAATCTCCTCCTGTGCGTCTCTCTCTCTCTCTCTCTCTATGCGATTGCTTGCTTGCTTCCCAAGTTCTGTGAATTCTAGATGGGAAACGATGGCGATGGATTTTCTTTGTAGCCTGCTACCTATATAGAGCCCGATCGGCTGTGCCACTTGCCTCGCCCGTCCCCGGTCACCCTGCCTCCCTCAGGCCCAGGACCGCCACCGCCTGCTTCGCCGCCCGCCACTCCCGCCGCTCGCGACCCTGCGCGCGCGAACACCCTCCGCCGGAACCTCTCGCGCAGACGCCCGCCGTAGGACTCGCACCTGTGCCCGCAAGGCCTGCGCATGTTCCGTGGCAGCCATCTCGCCGCGCTGCCCTGTCTGCAACGTCTGGGCCGCGCCGCCGCCTTTGCCCGCGGCCTCACCACTGGCGCCTATGGACGGTTGGGATTCTATCTATGGGGCTGTATTTGGTCAATGGGATTGGGGAACTGGGTAGCAGATGCACACCTTTGTTCTGTATATGAAGTTTGCCTTGTGCTTCGGGATTCTTCTGCTTAGATTGAATCACTTGATGTCAGATTTACAATGTTTCCTGATCAGCTGTCACCTACATTCTTGTTTTTATCTGTGTGCCTTGTTAATTCCAAGGTCCTGAACTCCTGTTTCTGCAGTCCTGGAATCAAGCGCATCGCGGCGAACATGAGCTCCACATCTTCTCAGCGTGGTTACCCTGCCCGGAAGTCTGAGCCCTGGACTCGCCTTACCCACCAAGAGAGACGACCACAATGGGTTGCTTATAATCCAAGGACAATGAGGCCTCCGCCACTTAGCACTGATACCAATTCTATGAAGATTCTGTCCTGGAACGTTAATGGACTGCAAACTATGGTACAGTCAGGGTTTTCTGCAGATGAATTGGTTGGCAGAGAGAACTTTGACGTCTTATGCCTTCAAGAGACACACTTGGAGGTAAGTTGTTTTCGTGTTTCCATTACTACTCCCTTTTTATGTACAGCTTCATCCTGGGCAGTGGGTTGGTTTGATTTAAATACATGGGGTTTCCAATATATCATGATATGTTGATCTTTCATTATGATGCACATATCTGTGTCATGACCAGGTTTTCATTCTCTTTTCAGGAGCGCAATGTTGACCTTTTTAAGAACCTGGTACCTGAATATGATTACACCTATTGGTCATGCAGTGTTGCAAGGCTTGGTTATTCAGGAACTGCTGTGATATCACGGGTATGTTCTCTTCTTGCTGTGGCTAATGCCCAGCACCTCCCTTTTGTACTGACTAAAAAGTCAGTGGGAAGCAGCATTGCAATAAATCTTTTGATCCGAATACCATCAGTTGATACATAGTATATCTAACGGTCTAACCACACTTTCCATGTTCTTCCGTATGCATTAACAGGTACAACCAATCTCAGTCCAATACGGGCTTGGCATACCAGAGCATGATCAGGAAGGCAGGCTTATTACCTTGGAGTTTGATGATTTTTACTTGGTCAATGCTTATATCCCAAATTCTGGCCGTGGTTTACGTAGACTGGTAAAATCTATTATTCCTTTATATTGTTAGTGTTCATTTATGTTGTGCTGCAATTGCTTAGCATATCTAATTTTGTTTTGTTGCCTCTTGGTCTTCAGAATTACAGGGTCAATGATTGGGATCCATGCTTTAGCGATTTCATAAAGGTGCATCCACTTAGCTTTCCAATGTCCTTATTTAGTATGACCCATTGTTATTTTTTATGTCAATTGAGGAGCTGTACTGTGCTTTTTATTATTATTCTGTGTTTTTCTACACCATTGCTTGTACTCCAACTTCTCAATTTGTCCCTCGAAATATTACTTTGCAAAGTGCAACTGAGATGAGCTTTTGGTCTGCAGAAACTGGAATGTTCCAAACCAGTAATTGTTGCTGGGGATCTAAACTGTGCTCGCGAAAGTATTGACATTCACAATCCTCAAGTAAGTGTATTTGCTCACCCTTTCCTTAGAAACATTGTCCAAACGTTTGAACATGCTACTGTTCTCTTTTCATGGTTCTCAATGACAGGATACCATAAAAGACTAGTGGAACTTTTTTGGGGATCTATATAATATATGTACATTGTTATAGGTGCCAATTTTTTTAAGGGGAAATCACAAAAAAAAATAAAGGGGAATTGCAGATTTTTTTTTCTCCCTTTCTGAGGAGATATGCCTCCTGTTTTTTAGTACATACTTTCACTTAAGAGCTGTTATATCCTCTAGAGAACATGATAGGCAGGTATACCATGCTGTAGTTAGAAGCAAGTTTTTGTTTAGGATGTTCTTGTGTGTCGTGTCTAAATATTGTTATCTACTAAAAGAACAATTAGATATGAAACATAATTGCCTTTCAAGTCCTTGTGACTTGTGAGCATTGTTCTCTTAATTTTTTTTGTCCTCTGACATGTATGGTTCCTCATTCTGAGAAAATTTCAGAGAAACTAAAAGGTGTTTATTGGCATCTTCCCTTGTTAGGGTTACAGTATACCTTTTCTAATGTGCTAGGAAATACCTTTTTTTATATCAGTGCTAGGAAATACTTTTTTTATATCGGTGCTAGGAAATACTTTGAGATCTGTCCATGAGCATGCCAGTACTTCATAGAATCATAGGCACACAAAGCTTATAATCTTTTTCAGCAAAGACAAAAGAATAAACACATAACAGAAAACTCTGAAAGATATACTACAAAACAGGAATATCCAGAACCTGACATCAAAACATATGAACTTGTCAGTTCTCCGTAGCTTGATATTGAATATGCACTGTTGCTAAAAGTTAAACAAGGAAGTCTCCTGTTTGCTCTAGGATAATATCTGTGCATAAAACAGTCTATTTGAGTCCCATTTACTTCCCAGTTTTCTTTCTTGTTGTACCAGTCCCTTGCTCTAGCCTTTAGGTGGATAACTCATTTCAAATCTGTTTTTTCAGGCAAAAACCGAGGCTGCAGGTTTCACAATTGAAGAGAGGGAGTCATTTGAGGAGAACTTCACTAGCAAAGGCCTTATTGATACATTCCGCAAACAACACCCGAATGCTGTGGCCTACACTTTCTGGGGTGAAAACCAGCGCATTACCAACAAAGGTATCGTGTAGTGTGTTGGGGTGATTATCCAGCAACTTAATTTCTCAGATTTGGTTGTCTTTGCATTTCATACCCTTTGTTTTTTAGACTAAATTACAACGACGGAGCAGTCCCCTGGCCTCATTATTTTGGGGTGACACTATCAATCGTAATTATTATAGCAGCTAGTGTTGGCCCACGGGATCACCGTCTGATGATAGTGAACTAGTCTCCAGACCACTAGTCTCCCAGACCAGACCACTAGTCTCCCAGACCACTAGTCTTCTCAGACCACTGGTCTCCCAGACCAGACCACACTAGTCTCCCAGACCAGACCACTAGTCTCTATACCACTAGTCTCCCAAACCACTATACCGGTTGTGTCTGTACCCACACACTACGGATCGAGCTAGAAGAAGAAGGGAGAACAGAGCAAGCACGCACAATACAAGACAACAACGTTGACCGAGGTCCTGTCTGTGTGATGGCAAATCTAAGCTCTCTTTACTGAGTTGCCTTGGTGCCCTATTTATATAACTCTATCTATCTAACTAAAGTACAGCGTTTACATCTTTATATGATAACTAGATAAGCATCTGAGGGCTGACTCTGCGCCGGCCACTACATGTGCCTCTGAGTCTTGCGGAGTGAGCCATGCGCGGCGCTGCACTGCGGCGACTCATGTATTATGCGAGGGGCAAAGTCGGCGCCGCCTTCCTCTCATTGTGTTTCACACAAGGTGGCGAGAGATTAGCTAACAATCTTCCCTAATCCTCGCTAACCCTTGCACCCCTCCATGCCAATCATCTCCTTGACTCGCGTGAGTCGAAAGTCGTCCAAAGCGGCTTGGTGAGGACGTCCGCGAGTTGCCGATCGGTTTCGACAAACTCGATGACGATCGCCCTCCATCAACACGATCCACGAGGAAGTGGAACTTCACGTCAATGTGTTTACTCGGTCGTGCGAACCGGATTCTTCGCGAGGGCGATGGCGGGCTGGTTGTCCATCATCGTCTTTGGTGGGTGAGCTTCCACGTCGGTTAGCTTCGCCCGGCAATGGCAGCGTATTTCACACAACTTGGCACGCCTTGTTGTGGCGCCGCCACGTACTCGCCTCGCACGTAGATAGCGCCACCACCTTCTGTTCGGCTGACATGACCATGAAATTGGAGCCGACCGAGGAAGACGAGATACGCCGGAGGTGCTCGTCGTCGTCGTCCGTCGATGTCCCCGCGCCATCTCGCATCGCTGAATACCGTGAGCTGCGAGCCTACTTCCCACGGTCTTTGGGAAGATGATTCCATGATTCACCGTCCCCTTGACGTGGCGTAGAAGCCGCTTCTTTGTAGCCCGATGATCCTCTCTACGGGATCCTCCATGAAGCGGCCCGACATAGCCCACGGCGAACGCAATGTCCGGCCTTGTGTGGACTAGATAGCACATGACCGCCGACGATGCTTCGGTAGAGTGTTGCATCTACTTTTCGCCGTGGTGCTATCCTTCGTCAGCTTCGGCCGCTCCTCCAATGGAATCACGCATGGCTTGCACTCCACCATGCCGCTCCTCTCCAACAGCTTGGAGGCATACGCGCTTTGCCCGGCGTGAGTTCCTCCTTCCTGTCTCACCTCGATCTCGAAGTAGTAGGAGAGAGCGCCTAGATCGCTCATTCGAAGCAGCTGCCATCTCTCGCTTGAAGCTGTTGATATCCTCCGCGCGTGCGGTGGCGATTAAGTCATCCACATACACGTCGACCACGAGTTCTTCCTTCCCCGTCGTCGGCGTGTAGAGCGCGTGCTCGATTGCGCACCTCTCGAAACCCAAGCTCGCCCGGCGTGGTGGTGTCAAGCTTGGCGTTCCATGCTCGAGGGCTTGCCGCGCGACCCGTAAGTAAGCGCTTTGCGTGATCGGAGCACCACAATGCTCTCCTCTCCCTTAACGGCGAACCACGGAGGTTGCCTAACGAAGGCCGTTTCGTGGCTCGCCATTGAGGAAGGCCGATTTAACGTCCAAGTGATGGGACGCGGATCCCTTTTTGCCGCCAAAGCAAGTAGCAAGCGGACCGACTCTATCTTGTATTTGTTGGTGCAAAGACCTCCTCGAAGTCGATGCCTCGCTATGGTTGGACAAAGCCTCAGACGACGACGAGACGCGCCTTGTACTTGACAATGGCGCCGAGCTCATCCCTTTTGACTTTGTACACCCACTTCAGGCTGATCGGATGGCATCCTGGGGGTGGATCGACGAGCTGCCAAGTCTCGTTTTCCTCGATCGCCTTCATCTCCTCCAGCATTGCCCGTCGCCGATTTCTATCGCGCTCGGCTAGTGCGAGACGTGGGTGGTTCCTCTACAGCGGCGAGTAGCAGCTACTGCATCGTTGAGCAGACCTACCCGTCGACACGAGGACCTCTATGCCGCCGACGATGTCGTCCAGCCTGCGGAACCTCAACTCCTCACCTTCGTGGTAGGCGTCCACGAACTCAGTGATGTCACTTGGAGGTGAGGCGAACTCGATCGGGGGTGATGAAGTTCCTTCTTCCGCCGGAGTGCCCTGCGATAGCTTTTGAAGTGCTTCTAAGATCGCTACGGATCGCTCGTCATAACTCTGCTGCGGTGTTCGGCCACACCGTAGGAGTGCCCGACTCTCGATCTTGGAGTGGTCGGAACCACGATGAAGACGTCTTGGCTCCGTCCGCGGGGAGTGCTCGGCTTTTGTCACGAAGTGGTCGCCACCTTTGTAGAACCTCTGGCTCTACTCTGGCGTGCTTGGCATCCCTCCGAAGTGCTCGGCGCTTTCGTCCCGGAGTGCTCGGCATCCCTCACGAAGTGCTTGTGCTTTGCCCGAAGTGCTCGACTCTACTGCCGGAGTGCTCGGCGCTCCTCCCGAGTGCGTGGCACCAGTTCAGTAAGCGTCTCCACCGCCGTGGATGACCAAGTGCTCGATGCGAAGGTGTTGGTGAAGCCTCCCGCTTCCCCGTGCTCTCGACCGTGCAGTCCCAAGCTGCCTCCTCGTTGAACCTGGCGTCGCGCGAGACGATCAAGGGTCTCGCATGGGTCATAGAGCGATGAGACGCCTTGGTACCCTCCGCGTAGCCGGGGAACACCATGGGTGTGCTCCTGTCCTCCGGCTTGGTGAGGTTCAACCGTCTTCGACGCGTGGCGATGCAACCGAATGTCCGGAGGAATGACACGTTCGGCTTGCTCCCGTACCAAGCTTCGAGCGGCGTCTTGCCCGTTAGGGCTTTGGTTGGCGCGCGGTTGAGGATGAACACCGCCGTGGTCACCGCCTCTCCCTAGAACTTTGCCGGCATCCCTTTGGCCTTCATCATGGATCGGGCCATGCCGACCACTGTCTGGTTCCGTCGCTCCACCACGCCATTCTATTGTGGCAAGTACGGCGCGGTGTGATGTTGGCCCACACCTTGATCCACGCAGTACATAGCAAACTCCACCGAAGTGAATTCGCCACCCCGATCAGTCCTCAGTACACGGAGCTTCTTGCCGCTCTCGGCCTTCGCGCGCGTCTTGAACTTCTTGATCGCCACCGCCGCTTTGTCCTTGCTCGTCAGGAGTTGCAGCCACATGTAGCGACTGCAATCGTCCATGAGCAGGAGGAAGTACCGCCGACCACCGCATGTAGCAGGTGTAATCGGCCCACAGAGGTCGCCGTGAACTAGCTCGAGAGCTTCCTTCGCGCGATACTTGACCGCCTTTGGGAAAGGTAGCCTTCTCTGCTTCCCAGCCAGGCAGCTGTCACACAGCTCGCCTCCATGTTTGATGTGGGGTAGCCCTCGGACCATCTTCCCCAGCCGACCAAGCGCGTCGAAATTGAGATGTCCGAACCGGGCATGCCACATCCACGGTTCCTCGGAGTGCCTTGCCGCTAGGCAAACCGGTGCTACGCCTCGGTCGGCAGGTACAACCGGTTCGAGGACCTCTTCACCTTGGCGAAGTCGCTGCTCCCGGTCTCTGATCCTTAGAACACCGTCCTTGATCAGAACCTCGCTACTGCGCGCTCATCCGGTGACCAATGCGATGATCTTTGGAACACAGCTGCGGGATGTAGTATACATCCGTTAGTGCGCGGTGCTCCCCATTCTGGCATCTGAAGATGATGGTGCCGCGCCCTTGGATAGCCACCCTTGAGCCGTCACCAAACTTCACCATACCGGTAACATCACCGTCGAGCTCGGAGAAGGAGTCCTTGGAGCCCGTCATGTGGTTACTGGCACCAGAGTCCAGATACCACCGCTGCTCCTGGTCGACGCCCACATGCCCAAGATGGACTTGGGCGCGTGGTTCGTCGAGGTTTACGGTCTTCAGGGCCTTGCTAGATCCTTCCACCATCGTCGCCTCTTCCCTCTCCATGGCCTCAACGTCGTGCAGTGCACAGAACGTCGCCATAAGGATAGTGGCCTCATCCTCATCATCGGCTTTCGCCAGGTGAGCCTGAGCCTTCTTTTCCTTCTTGCGATTTGGGCACTCCCGTGCCCAATGGCCCATCTTCCCGCAACACCGACAGGCGTTGGAGTCGATTTGCTTCTTCTCGAAGAAGCCCGCCGTGATGTTTGCCGTTGCCACCGTGGTGGAGGAGGCTGCCGTCACGGAGTTTCGCCGAGTAGCCCACTCCTCTTCCGTCGGCGAGGAGTTTCGCTGTCGCCGTTGCTATCGCTTTGCCCAGCGCCGTCGTCCACCGCCGCCCGCAGACGGCACCGCCACATCCTCGATGGTGAGGGTGGACAAGTCCGGCATCGTCTCTATGGAGAGAGCGATCTGGATGTACTTTCTTAAGACGGAGTGGAGGAATTTGGAGACCGCCTCCTCTTCGTTGATGGTGATGCCATGGCTCTTGACTTGGCGATGGCGTCTATGCGCGGAGGAAAAGTCCTCCACCGTTTCACCATCCTTGAACTTGAGGTTTGCGTACTCCTGCTTCAGAAGCTGGACCGTCGCCTTCTTTGCGTTGTCGAAACGGACGCGCATTGCCGCAATGGCCTCCCGCCTCCTTAGCTGAGCTTTTTCGTCCCCAACGGTTCCACTGTACTCCGCAATGCAATGGCGAGGATAGCCTCCAACGGCGACGACATGTCGTCTTCTTCCGCGTCGGTGCCCTTGTC